AAACCGTTGTTACTGCGTCATATGAGGCCGTTATGATGTACGGTAATTTTAACCGTTGATTACTGCGCCACATGGGATGGTTAACCAACTATTTGGTAAATCAAGCAGAGGGTTCCAGATACCTGGGTCTGAGAGGGGGTCTATATCTACGTAAAAGGTGCCAGTTCCCTTGGAAAAATTGCTATGAACCAATTTCTCTAATTAACTCTTCTCATTACGACAATATTCTTGACACTATTACAATAGAAGAAATTACTTATACACTAAAAAATCTTCCTAATAACAAAGCATGTGGCTCATCAGGTATAAGTTATGAGATGCTTAAACATGCTAATGATCTGTTTTTACAATCAGTCACAGTTTTGCTTAACAGATGTTTAACATCTCAAACAATTACAAAACAATGGAAAGAGGAATATATCTTTCCAATATTAAAAAAGTCAGTATTTGATGACAATTTACATAATACTAGGCTAATTAGCCTTATCGAACATATCAAAAAACTTTATACAAAAATCTTCACAAACCATCTCAATACTTCTTTAATGTCTAAACAAATCTTTTTCTCATTCAAATATGTTATCCTCCTAGAAAACAGCATCTCAACTCCAATCCATATTCTCAATAACATTATTGAGAACTCATACTGTAATAATAAGGAGCTTTGGCTACTATCACAGGATATGAGCAAAGCATATGACTCTGTTAATATAGATTTACTTCAAAAATCTCTTGAAAGAATTTAATTTCCACCTTAACTTACTCAAATTATACTCAACTTGCTTTTAAACCGTTCTAACAAAGTTATTACTAACTTTAGATTAACACAGTTATATATAGTTAAAAATGGAATAGACCAAGGGGAAATGATTATACCCCTGCTCTGGTGTATCTATTATGACCTCTTAATATCACATATCGCTAACCAACACAAAGGCTATGGCTTGGGAGTCTCTTGGATTACAAATCTAAAAGGAAAAAAGTCTTATCAGCTCCAAACATCAACTTCTGTTCTAGCATTCATGGATAATACATTGTGGATAGCTCCTTCAAAAGATGAGCTCGAGCAGATTCTAACACTCGCTTTATCTTTTTTCATAATAGCTGACATACAAGTCAATCCACTCAAGTCCATTCTCAGTACTAATGCAAAAAAACCAATACTTATTAAATTTATATAACAATCTATTACTCCATTAGCTAAAAATACTCCTTTTAAATTTTTAGGCTGCTGGTTTTTTTCAAGTTATCAACAGACTCAACAAATCAAACTTATTACTCAAGAGTTTTACAACTTTACAAATATACTCAAAACCAAACAAATAACTGACAAACAAGTAGCATATATTATAAATACAGTTATTATTCCAACACTTGAATACTGTATTCACAATATTGTTCTGTTAAAAACAACTTGTGAACAAATTTTCTCAACACACCTAACTACAGCAAAACACAAATCAAACCTTTCATGAAGTATTCCTAATAGTGCTATGCTTAATCACAATATTTATAGAATCAAAAACATATAGGATATACAACTTCAACACCACATCTCAAAATTTTTACTTCAGCTTAACAATTCTGATCTTCTAGAAATTACAACAAAAATCTGTATTCAATAATTACAAAACATATTAGCTAATATGTGTATTTTAGCCTAAAATTTGCACTCTAAATTGTAATTGATAATCATAAAAAAGCTCTAAAAATTTTCATTTTAGTCATTAAAAATTAAAAATTTATATTTAGTTCTAGTGTCAAACCAATGAACCTACCTAGGTTACCAATGAACTGAATTGCGCAAAAGGTATAGCAAGTAAAGAAAATAGAGGTTATAGCAAGAATTTAACTTACTTCATATATAAAACACTTATAATATTTTTTATATAATAAGTAAAGCTCTTTTCAATATCTTGATCAACACATAGTAAACCTTTCGAGTATACTATTTGTAAAAAAAAATTGTACAAATCTTCAGCAAGGCTTTCATGACATGAAAATACTATACATAGCAATTATAAAATACTACCTCTTTAATCCTATTTTTTGCCTGAAAATACTATTAATGAATGGAAGAAAATGCTAGTATTTGCTATTTACAAATGACTTCCTCTTACTTTTCAAAAAACTGGAAAACAAGTAATTAAATTTCTGTATATGGAAGGTCAATATTTAGGACTTTTCAAGCAACATTTAACATGCGTATTTGTTAACAAAAAAGCATATAAGTGTGTTTTTTCAGGATATAATACATATCAAACTCTTAGTTCATTATTAGGTAACCAATATTGGAGTGTTCGATATTATAAGTATAATCAGGTTTCTTATATTGTATTATTTATTCAAACGATTGATGAAGATTTAGTTCTAGCATTAGATGCTCTAATCACAAAAAAGGTAGCCAAAAAAGTACTTAAAAAAAAAAATCAAAATACTATTGATAAAGAAGATCCTTCTCTTATTGTAACTTTAGAAAAAAATATAGCTGAGAAACCAAAATTTATAGTAGATTAGTTTCAAGAAACAATAAAAGATTTTAGTAGACATTATATTACTTCTGGATATATTAAAATACAATTCAATATGGAAAAAAGCTTCTTTACTGATTCAAATACAAATCCATATTATAAAACGTGAGTATACTCAGAAGAATTTATAAATAACAAAATATGCTAAAAGTTTTAAAACTTATATTGATATCTTTTTAATATTACTTTTGTAGATAAAAAAGGTAATTAATCTAAAATACTATGCTTAATTATATATTAGTACAAGACTAATATCATGGTAATAGTTATGTTCAAACAACTAAGTTAGACAAGTTATTCTTTTCACTATTAGTTTATTTGTAATTGACTCATTATCGACTTAAGACTGATGAAATATGTAGAATATGCTACATATTTATATATACTCTTAAGTGTGATTAATGACCAAGTTAACTATAAATACTGTTACAAGCTGCCTGAATTGACAGAGTTGACAGTTAACAATTATGAATTACTAGAAGTAACACCCAATTCATTATTAATAGGTTATATAATTTTTGAAAGCATTATCGTTTACTCAATCTCTTAAAAATACAACTCCTTTTAAAGTTATGACAATAAAATGTTAATAATTCTAAAAAATCAGCTATGTAAATTTTTCTATTTGTCCTTTTTTTTTTTCTCTTTTTTTTTTTTTTGTCAATTTTATAAAACTATGTAAATTTAGAATTACTCAGATAATAATTAAATCAAAGGTAATTTTGATCTGTGTTAAACTAACTAAGTCATCATTATTTATAATCTTGCTAACTTCAGATTTTTGAACTTATATTATAGGTGAAGTAAAATAGATATATTCAACAAAAAATTTGAGTTACTTTATTTTTATAAGCTGATTCAAAGTCATCATCAATAATTCATGTTTGTTTTTTGAACAAACTATTTTATTTCTTTTGACAAAACTAAAAAGTTTTATGGAATAACTTTTGCGAAAATTTTTTAGTAAGGAGAAAAATAAAGTAAGCTAGTTATTTGAACATTTTTTAATTAATAATTTATTGAAGACATATTATTCATTATATTATAATTTTACTAACTCAGTCTTTATTACAAGATAGTTCTTGATGTTATGAAAGGTTATTAAAGCCAAAAAATAAGATGATTTCAATTAATCCTTCAAAAAAATAGTTATAATTTTGTCTTGAACATTATTCTAGGTAAGGTAGACCTAGCCAATATTGGTTTATTTTTGTGTACTAGTATATATACTTAAAATCTTATAATTAACGTATTTAAATATTGTTTATAGGCGTAAGCCCTTTCTATGAATTTATGAGCATTTCAATTTATTCTATATATACTACAATTTATGTTGGTTTTGATACTGTAGTACTCATATTAAAGTAATTAATTTTCAAGAATGTCATATTTTTGTAGTTATTTAGGGTATGCTTAATATATAATCAGTTTATTTTATTTTTTATTTTATATTTATATACATTTATTTATTTATAGAAAAAATTTTATCTTGAGAGAAATATAATATATTAGGTATTTTAATTAGTTGAATTATCTAACTTTGTTTCACTTGAATACATCCTAATCTAATAAAAGATATCAATTCGCTTTAGTAGCCAAAATTGAATATATACTTTACCTATATATAAAGACTCAAACTATGTAATATTAATAGGGTTTTGTAACTCAGAATAAAAAAAAATAAAAGTTGAATTAATATTGAAATAGGATACTATTATTATTTGAAAGGTAATATGTGAAAAAGTTTTTAAAGTGCTAGTATCTAAATAATTAGCATTTTAATTCTTTATTAGCTACCTATGATTTTATATCCTTATTGTGATTAGTTTTTAAATCCAAGTTTGATTTTACCATATATTTTAAAAAAGCCTTTTAATGTTTGCTAAAAATTTTTAATGTTACTTAAGAAAGTTTAAATTGTCAAACAAAGAACATATTTTAATAACAATGTTCTTAAAAATTGATTAATTCTCAGAGATCACTAATATTAAATTTAACACTAATTGCGATAATATATAGTTTCTAAACTTTAATAAGTTTTTGATTTTTGTCAAGACTAATATTAAGTTTTTGATGTTTAGATAATACTAATATTTCACTATACCACCAAAAATATAGTGTCTATTTTCCATTTCTAATATTTCCAGTATAGCTAGTTTTTGCAAATGCTTTTCTCTACTATCTTTTAAAGTTTTTAAAAAAAAAAATGATATGTGTTGATGATTTTTTTTCTCAACAGGTTGACAAGAAAATGAACTAAGTCCCCAACGTGAATGAATATCAAGAAATTCTGGAACATGATATATAAGAATATGCATATAAGGAGTTATATCGCTTAGTATATATAAACCTTTAACAATCATACCAGAAATCTTTTGTGACAGAGTTAAAAACATATTTAACCATTCATGCACTCTGTTACAGAATATATCTCCTAAAATTTTATAGCCTAACATTTTATAGAGTTCGTAAAATTCTGACCAAAGTTCTTGAACTTTTGTTACACGTTTAGGAGATAATATTATACTGAGATTAAAGTTTTCTATTACTTTTAATTTGTCTGAGCTTATCAAAGAGGTAAATTTCTATAATTTGGTTTCTTGATCTTGTCAAAAATTAAATTTTACTCCAATAGCACTCATTTCATTACATATTAACTCTCTTATTGCATCTACAAAGTTACCATAATTTTTGCATTCATTTAAAGCTAACTTCTACAAGTAGTCAGTAATTTGCAATATCAGATGAAGTTGATCTACTATGTAATTAGTCATTGGTATCATATTTAATATAGGTGAATGAATATAGTCTGGGTATCTTTGAGAATTTTCTTTAATTTTATCTATTTCTTTCATTATTGTCTAATTTTAGTTTAAATCGCCTATTAAATCTTTTGTACATAGACATCACAGGTAAAAGTTAAATGCGTTAGCTGTGTTAAATTCTAATATAATAGCTAAGAACTTCTAGTCTGATGAAAAAAATATCTCAATATCCTATTTTTAATAATTATTATTAATAAAACTATTTTTACACAATTCTTGTAGTTCATGATGAATTGGGTCTAAAGCGGCCTTAAGGGAAGTATATTTTTCTGCTTCAGAAAACAAAGAAATTGAATAGTGACTTTCTGGTTTTGAAAGATTTTTTTGATCATTTAGAATAGCTAATATTAACATCACTTGTTTGATTTTCTTCTCAACGTTCTTTCTGTCACATGAGATTCGCAGACATATTGTAGGGGCTTCATAATTAAGAACTTTATTTTCTACAAGTTTTGGTATAAGAAATTTAAGAATTGAAGATATGTTATGATAGCCACTCTTTTCTAATGTAATTGCAATTTCTTCTTCAATGTTTGATGCACTGTCAGAGTCACTGTTAGTACTATCAGAGTCACTGTCAGTATCATTACTTTGTGTATGCGTTTTCATACTATATACTAATATTAGAATATGCTTTTGTATTATTTTATCAATATTATGCCTTTCTTTACTAATTAACAATTCCTTTGATAGATCTCGCGAAGTAGCTGTTAGCACTCTATATCCATTTCGTAAAATTTTAGACTGATCCATAGTCTGAATTATTTTTTGTGCTTGTTTTTTTTCTAACTGTTAGTTTTCGTCAAACTTTACTATCTATGATTGCTCATCAGCTTCTAAAACTATTTCTTTAAGTTTAGGATTATCTTTAGAATGCCAAATTTTATTTTTTTTGTTTTCAAATTCATTGAATAAATTTTCAGCTGCCCTTTTGGTTCTATTTCTATGTGCACGATTACTAATCTCACTTAGAGGTTTAATATATTTCAAATGATTTGTTTTTGGTATATTCTTAGTTAGTTCTTTATATAGTTGTATTTCAAAAATAAGTATTCCAGAAAGTGCTGTTTTTCTTTTTAGATATTGTATCTTTAAAATTCAAATTGATTATTTAAAATCATATATATATGTATATAAGTTATATTTTACAAAATAGTTATAAATCTACATTATAATATTTATTAGAAGTATCAGAAGGTGAAATTTGCGAAACTACTATATAATTTTGTTTATGATATGTCCATTCAATTATATAATGTGGAGTTTTGTCAACATAATTGATAGATGCTTGAATATGGTTTTTTTCATTACGCTTCCAAAAAGTTTCTATTTCATAATTATTAGAGATAGGATATATACCAGGATGCTATGTATATTTAAGATTTGGTTTTGAGGGAAGTATGTCTAAATTTATAATTGTATATTTATAATTGCTATTTTTACTTTTCCAAAGAACTAAATTTTCATGTAGATAATTATGATTTATTGTTCCTTCAAGTTTTTTTCTTGCTATACTTTTTGACATGTTTATGTATTCAAAAACCAGCATTACAGTATACATAATTAAATTTTTTTTATTTGTTACACATACATATATTGTGCTAAAAGCACAATTCATTATTGTTACCTATTATTAAATAATCATTGGTAACTAGCTTTGATTTTTTTTTTTTTTTTTTTTTTTTACAGTTAATGTTTATTTAACACTCTCATATGTTGAGATTTTCTCTCCCCAGTTAGTTTAGGTTTCATTACAAAAACATCTAAAATATAATTATTTTTTGGTAAATAAAAAATTTTTTTTTTTTTTTTTTTTTTTGTTATTAAGGTGGCTTACATTGCTGAAGGAATTTTATTAGAATTGCATACGAGATATACATTGATAGTCCCTACTGTTTGTAATTACATGAAGAATGTACAACAAGCCACATATACAACTTTAGTCATTGTCTAATTTAAGTAGTC